CATTCTGACCCTGTATCACTGTAACACAGAGCACATCAGGAACCACAATCAGATTCATAACAACAGAGCAAAGACTGAAATTTTATGAAGGTTCTTCAATATGGAAATCTGTTAGATAATTAAGACACATTACCCAAAACTACTTGTCACTAAAACCTCTTGCTTAATGATTTATAAGGCAAAAATGTATAAAAACAACATGTAACAGGGGAATTGTTTTTATCTCCTGGTCACATGCTTTGTAATGCATTTTTATACTTGTACTTTTTTCCTGTTCTGCTTCCTATCTGTTCACCCTGGTGAGATTAGTGCTGAGATTGAAAAAAAAATTAAGAGGAAACAGATGTGTGAGCACATATTGACACTTGGCTGCTACTGTATGTTATAAATCATTCAAGGCAGATTATTCATCCAGAGAAGTGAAACATCACACCAACATCTGCAAATAACAGAATTGTTGAGCAAGGTTTGGTTCTTATTTTCAGCATTTGGTAGATGTTATCTTGTTCTCTCAAAAATGACATACATTTGTAGATGAACTCTCAACTACAATGACATGCATCAAAGAAGTAGAAGTGATTGTGTTTTATTGATTAGCATCATATCCAACATTCAACTTAGAAAAGTGATGCTTTAGTACTGGTTCCCAACCTGGGGGTCCTGAACCCACTAGGGGTTTTCTTGATTTTAAGGGGTGTAAGAAAACCTTTAAAATATATATAAAATAGGTGTATATCTCAGGATCACATTCATTTCTGTGAAGAAAATTATATTATAAAAATTAATTATATTATATTATTCAAGATATAACCTTTTAAAAATCACAGGATAAGTGCAAAGTGAAGACCTGAGGCCTGTACTATGAAGCCAGTCCGTTCTGGTTTGACTAACTCTAACACTGGCCGTCTGGATAACAGGTACTACAAAACTGGTTATTAACCAGTTCAGTCAACTCTGTGTTTTCATACCCAGCCACAAGAGTGTTCATGTGAAAGAGACCGCGGTGTTAATTATAAGTGATGTCATCAGAACCATGAATGAAGGAGGCTGCTTCATATGATATGAGATGAGACTGCTGCTACAAGACAATAAAATGTCAGTGACGTGCCATGTAAACAGTGCTCTGTAATCTTATCATGAAAAATGCAGAAATATTGGAAATATTTTCCAAAAATATGTATGTGACATTAGTATAGAGTATTTTTTTACTATTTAGTTGGTGGATGACAAAACTCCTCTGAATATGTCACATAAAACACGTTAAAGTAACACCAGACTGTTTCTGCTGCTGAAGTAAAGAGTGGAGGAGTAGTTAATGACTGATGAGGTCTGTCTGACCCAAATGTTTGTGGATTATTTTACCAATAGAATATGATCTGTTTTATCCTAGTTCTCATCACACAGGCGTCTCATGTGATTTTAAGCTGCAGTGATGAATCAGAGTGTAAAATATCAACACTGTCACTGCAACTAAAATGAACTTTGCATAAGTTAAAATGCAGCTAAAATCACATGTTTAGTGATGTAAACAGTTTCTCTGTTTGTTAGAAGCTCTACATTGAAACACTTGGAAATAGAATGCTGGAGCAATAAAATGATTATTCTGACCTATAACAGTATACAGGCTCCTCTTTTTTACCTGAGACTCTGGACTTTCATTCATGGATTCATTCTTCCTCAGTGATCTAATTGGTCAGAGGTCGGGGTGTTGACAGGCTGTGATCTGATACCCTGAAGTTAACCTGCTGCTCAGCATCAGTTACCACGGTGATTTATCCCAGTAAAAAGAGAAGCAGCTTCGTAGTACTGAAAGCCCAGAGTTAACCCTGAAGTTACCTCGCTAACTCCAAATCCTGCTTCGTAGTACAGGCCTCTGAACACAAGCTATATATTTACAGAGACTTCACTCTCTGCTCATCAGCCTCGTCCTGCATTCGAAAAGTATGTAAACAAAACAACCAATATTGATATAATATAATATAGTAATATAACAAGTGTCAGGGAGAGGAATTTGTCCAAATCAAAGCACAACAAAACGAAACATAATACTGTGAGAGAACTGTATAAAGTGTTCCTAATAAAAATCAAAGAAACTCATCCCTGGTGCAATACGCAGAAGCAATCTGCCCAAAATGCATCTAAATCAGTCATTTTACACAAACTTCCTGCAGTGATTGTGTTGACTATTTCAGTTAATTGTACAGTTCATCAGTTGTTCTTAACTGTTTGTTATGAATTGCATATGATATGAAATATCCACAAAATATGTCACCCCTTTTCGACAGTCAGGGTTTGGTTTGGTTTGGTTTGGGCCATCAGCTCAGTGCAGCAGAGATTTACATTCCATTACAACAGGGCTAGCCACTTGAAGGCGTGTCTTTAACTGATGACAGCTTGTCTTGAGTGATGACGATTAAACGCAGCGGACTGATCCACGGCTAAAGTACCCTGTTATTTTAATTGCATGTGTTTTTCCACAGCAGGGCAGGTAAAAGAAGTCTGAGCTGTTTACAGAGGTGCAGTAAGAGTCTGTTGTCTGCAGCTCTTCATCAACATCTCACTGTGGCTGTTGTTTCTGCTTTTATTCTTCCTCCCTGCTGTATTATTAGATTTGCCTTCACTGAAGAAAAGGCATCAGCACAGTTCCGTTAATTCAGTGGTAACACATTTCATTTCCTATTCTTCACAATAAAAGTCCCCTGTATGTTGAGTTTTCGAGCAGCAACTTCACACAGCTCTTAATACAGCAGATAGCGAACATGAAACATTAAAATAAAGCAGATATCTAAAGTAAAAACAGGACGCAGGAGAGAAACTAAACTCCAAACCACAGAGATTCACTTAGAAGCTACAAAAGTACTGAGAGCTGAACACAGAGACTTTGAAGAATGTCTTCCTCTCTGGCCTCCTGCAGACAGAAGTGAGGAGAGTCCCGCAACACACATGGCTTGTTTTAGGGGGAGAAGCGGGGTCATCGGGGGTTGGCTGCAGTTGGTGAGACATCACTGCTACCTGCTTGAGAGCGGGCAGCCCAGATTTTGGACCCATTGAAAAGAGATCCCTCTCTGGCGCTGCTTGACTTGGCAAAGCGCATCTAAACTGATAATGGAAATGCAAATCGGCGTGCATGGCTTGACTCGGCATGGCTAAAACTGACAGTGGAAAAGGCCCATTAGTCAGGGCTCTTCAGTTAACTCAATCATAGAAAAGGGACTCACTGAAGGAAAAAGGTTGGAAACCACTGCTTTAATTAATTCATTTGTTTTAATATAATTTTTAAAAACAATTTATATCTTGCTCTGAAAAATGCCCGTCAGTGTAAATATAAATATACAGTACCTGGCACAGAGAGAAGAAGGAAGACAAATCCACTCGCTGCTGCAGTTAAACTCATCGCTGCTCCTCTTCTTTAGAGAACAAAAAAAAACCCATCAACTGGTGAACACTGTCGAAGATGCTGTCTGAAAAAGATAATGTTCCTCTGTGGTCAACACAGTAAGCAGAATGCAGAAGTTGTTAAAGAAGGCACACTTCCTTCCTCTTAATGTTATTAGTATGCATGAAGTCAGTAACTGTCTGATTGGAGGAGAAAACAACCGGTTAAAACTTTAAGACAAGAGTTTTCTCACCAAATGGTTTAAATGGTTATACATATCTATCAGAACATGTTTTGATGTTTAGGTGGTAGTTTATCAGTTTGCATAATGCTAGAGTCAGCTTACACACACTGGTCACTGGACACTGGTAACTCTCATGTCCTTTTAAAGCACCAGGGGATGTCTCAGTGATGAAACTGGCCTGTTTAAGACAAGGTTACCTGCATCATTTTCCTCCTGTTTTTGAACCAGACGTAGGAAAGATGACCTGCAGCTGCTGTGACACTCTAGCGCTGCTGTTTGCTGATACAGTGTATGTTGTGTTCATCTGTACCTGTGACAATCAGAGTTGTAACAGGTAAACTGCTGTTTGAATTTGAATTTGAAGACATGATACTAGGTTAAATCATTGGGGCGTCCTCTCTCAGTTTCAACCTGAGCGTAACCTGCACACTGAGAGTCTTCACCGAGACCCTCAGGCTGAGAAGAATTTGGCGGCTGTTAGCTCAGACTGACCCAGAATTTTGTTGGAAATACAGATTACCATTATATGTGCAGGAAATGTCCACTAGTGAGCCTTTGGAAGCACCAATGATGCCAGTGAGGTCGCTGTGTTGGGTTCGGCCATTGACACCTGAAAGGTAAAAACATGATAAAACAGTTATGTAAGAAGTTACAGTATTTAACCAGACAAATCTGCAAGTTAATGTATTATTTGTTCTGGCAGATACATCTGGTCCCAACCTGTCCAAACAGAGCCAAAGAGATTTTTCCTTTGGATTTTAGATTATAGAAAATAAGCTCTGTGGCAAATAAAAGTTTATGATTCTTACATGTTTTGTTCAGCAAGATAATCTTCACAAATGAACACCACTGT